GGGGGGGGGGGGGGGGGGGGGGTCTGCTAGCGAGGAGGCGGCTCGCTTAAATCAACCCGGACGAGCGTGGTGTGTGAACCCAACCACCACCTGTAAGCTGGCTCAGAGCTGCAGCAGCGTCCAGGGAGGGTCCTGGCCCCCCAGGATGGAAGTGGGGAAATGATTGGTTTCCGAGAGTCAGCTCCAGGCACCCTCCCAGTGTTGTATCGGGGATGGTGGGAAGGGGAGCATCAGCGAGGGGGCTGCAACTGAAGGCGGCTGTGCGCCGGGCATCCTGGGGCTGGCCACAGCTCCAGCGCTGGCTTCAGTTTTTGCAGCTGGAAAGGTTTATCTGCTCCCCCCCCCCCCCCCGCTTTGCTGCAACACAGCATATGCTTCTGGTTTGGTGCGTAAGCGTTGACTAGGGAGAGGGGTTGATCGCTGGCTCCATTTTGCACAAAGAGAGGGTTTGGGGAGGGGGAGAATGGGAAGGGCTCTTGTGGGGGCGAGGGGGGGCCTGTTTTCCCTTGCACAGGATGTCAGAAGTGTGCTTGATCGCTCTGCCCTTCATCTCACCCAGCGAAAAGATGCCACAACTACAGTGTGAAGACAAACAGATGCATTCCTGGGCAACCGGAACATTATGTGCTGGGGAGGGTTTTCTAGCTGCCTGAATCAAGTTCAACGCGTGCCCCCCCGCCAACTCCTCCTAATTGCTTTGCAATGCAGCCTGGCTAACAGGGCAGTTCGCAGCAGAAGAGCTGTGGTGATCTGGTGGGGGCCCCAATTATGATGCTTCAGCGGCTCTGAATTATACAGTAGGCCCCCTCGGTCTGGAAAATGTTGCAGTATTAAGTTGCAGTTCTATCCTTTACTTTGCTTTTTTTTGAAAGGATACCCCCCCCCCCTTAAAGTTACGAAGTCTCATGATCCTGGGGAATAGTTACGAAACTTCCAAACAGCAGCTGTGAGGCATTTCGGTCTTGGAAGATGGAGAACTGGAAGGATTTTGATGTGGGGTTTCAAATTCTGCCCTCCGGTCTTCTGTTCAAGTTGGACGTGCCACAAGATCTTGGGGGGTGCTGACGCCTGGCTTCTTAACAACACTCAATTTCCTTTGCAAATGACTGAATACAGTCACTACTGATTTGGGAGGGGAGAAGATGCGTTTGGAGAGCAGTCTCCACCGAAAGGAGTCAAAAGAGTCAAGATGACTGTCATGACCATGAGACTGGAGCCCTGTCCCCTTTTTAGGTGTGTTAATGCTTTCACAGTCACGACCACCATCTTGACTTTCTTGACCCCTCTCCACAGAAGCCCTTGCCTTTGGATCTTTATCAGCCTCATTAACATTTTTATATCCGATCCCCTTTTCATGCTCAGAACAGGACATTTGGGCTGAGAAAACCCTGGAATTCCAAATGTTTTGCATATCCCTAACAGGGATCCCCAACATCCCCGTCTGATCCAGAGCAGTTGATCCAGAGTCATATTTGCAGCCCTGTTGATTTCCACCCACATATTGGCAATTGTGAACGTGCAACTTTTTCCTCTTCCCCCTTTCTCTGTTCCAGGAAGATTGGCTTCACCGGGACCACCAGGCCCAGTAGGGCCCAAAGGAGATGCTGGGATCCAGGGCCCCTCCGGTGTTCCTGGGGTCAAGGGTGCTGTTGGACCACAGGGTGAGTTCAGTGCTATTGCAGGATGCAGTTCCTACCTTGCCCACAGAGTCCTGAGCATCTCGGGTTAAGATTCCAGAGAATGTAGTCCATGGATTAAAACCTCCCCTTGGCAACCATTGTTCCCTACTGTGCATTACTGCACTCTTGCACATTACAGGTAGTCCTCACTTAATGACCACAATCGGGACCAGAAAATTCATTGTTAAGCAGGGTGGTTGTTAAGTGAGTTGCACCCAATTTTATGACCTTTTTTGCAGCGGTCATTAAGCAAATCACTGTGGCTATTAAGCGAATCACGTGGTTCCCCATTGCTTTTGCTTGCCGGAATCAGCTGGGAAGGTTGCAAACAGCGATCTTGTGACCCCGGGATGCTGCAATCGTCGTAAGTGCAAGCCGGTTGCCAAACACCCGGATTGTGATCACATGACCGCAGGGGCGCTGCAATGGTCATAAGTGCGAGGACTGGTTGTAAGTCCTTTTGTTCAGCATTGTTGTAATTTTGAACGGTCACTAAATGAATGGTTGTTAAGTGAGGACTACCTGTAGTGTCCCCCTGCATTTCTAATGAACAAGAAAAACTTTTGAAAGAAGACACACTGGTGGACCTTTGTCTGCAAAGGCCGGGTAAATCATCCCCTAAGTCTTTTGAGAGAAGATTGCAGCCGGGTGGGGAGAACTTAAAAATATATCAGTGCTTAGGGAGAAAAGGGGAAAAGGATTAATGTGTGGTCCTGACCCAGGTCAAGAACATGGATTTGTATTTAGCCAACCTCCCTGATTTTGTTTGGGCTTGGAAAATAAACCCAGTTAGGCTTGGTTAGTTCTTGGATGGGAGACCACCAGAAATCCCGGGTCTTTAGACTGAGAAGTTGAAAATGATCCTAGAAGAAGTGGAAAATCATATCTGTATTATTGCAGTCCAGTCCAGTAGCTATGAAAGCTGCTGGAGATATCTGTAAGTCACTGGCTCAACTCCAAGGAAATTTAATGTTACGTTCAAGGAGAATCTCTTATAGGTTGGGAGGAGAAGGGAGACAGGAGGACTGTAGCTGCTGGATATGGTGAGAATTTGCTTCTGGGTTGGGGGAGATCCTGGCAGAGGAATTGCTTGTTGGGTCTCTGTGTGAGTCTCCAGTCTCAGCTCTTCTCTTCCCATAATCCCCCATGTGTCTCTGATTGTCCCGTGATGGAGTAGGGAGCTGAAGAGCTTTGGGATGGAAATGTCTTCTTCTGACAAGTGAATGAAGCACTGATAAAACTTCCAAGCTGTTGTTTGTGAGTTAGTTTGACCTGGTTCACACATCCCCCTAAACCGTTGTTTGCTTATCCGTCATTTATCAAATGAACTACAGTTGCTGGGTTCTCACCATACACTAAACCATCAATCCTAGCATACTAACCACAGTGGCTGGTTTCACATAAGAAAGCCAAGAGCATTTGGATGGAGGGAGTTTTGTGAACTCACCTGGTCTGTTTGCATTTCATGTGTAGAGAGGAAGGAAGGTGACCTCGTTGGAGATAGCAGGAACCGTTTCCTAGGCAAAAGGGGATGAAGCATGTTTCAGTCCAGAACATCCAGATAACATTTGGAAGTGGCTCAGAGAGACACCTCCCTAATTCACTGGAGCACAGGTAGTCCTCGCTTAACGACCGCAATTGGGACCAGAATTTAGGCTGCTAAGTGATGCAGTCATTAAGCAAATCATCACGTGAGCAGACCTGATTTTATTACCTTTTTTTGGCAGTCGTTAAGCAAATTACACAGGTCCCCATTGATTTTGCCTTCTGGAAGCTGTCTGGGAAGGTCACAGATGGCAGTCACGTGACCTGGGACGTTGTACCCATCGTAAGTGCGGGCTGGTTGCCAAGCACCCGGATTGCAACCACGTGACATGGGGGTGCTGTGATGGTTGTAAGTGTGAGGATCGGTCATAAGTCATGTTTTAGCACCATTGTAACTTCAAATGGTCACTAAATGAATGGTCATTAAGCTTATACAGGACTACCTGTATAAGAAGGGGAAAGAGGTCCAGCACAATCAGTCCTGCAAGATTCTGTTATTATAGCCCATCTCCATCAAAGTCATTTTAGGCTACCTGTGAAGTTGACTTCCTGGTCTGGTCTACCTAGTGGGGCCGGCATTATGTTACACTCACATAATTTAACATTTTAAATTGCACTCTGGAACTCAGAATCAGCTGTCCTTCAGAGGAAGGGGGGGTGTTGCCTCTCCATGGGTCCCTGCGCTAAGTTTTCTCCCCTCCAGTCGGGGCCCTGCAGAACCATGGGGTGCAGTCCTCCTTTGTCCCCCTTCCAAAGCTCTCCTGGACAGAAGAGGGAAGCACACTCCGTGGTCCTTCAGGGGACAGCGTAGTCCGAAGTGGAGGACGAGCTGCTGTGGGAGGCGGGTCATCGTAGGCTGCCTGAAACAGAGGAGCAGGAGAGAAGGCGAAATGCGGGGCCGTGCTCGGCTTTCGCAGCGTCTGCTTAGTGTTTCTGGTTTGGAACTCCTCCCGGGGAACGTTGCTTCTGGCTATTTGGAGCTAACGATTAACCCCACAGAGAGCCCAGGCTGCCTCTCGGACCCACACTGGTCGCGGCCTCCCCCCCCGCCGAGCTGTCCGTTCAAATTGCAGTTCTTTGTGATGGACCTCCCAGGGCTGGGCAGGAATGATGGGAAAAGCCTGGGGGGGGGGAGCCCAAACCAGCTCCTTTTCTCCTCTGCTCTCAGCTGCTCCTGAGCTTTGGTGCAAGAACTTGGAGCCCCAACCCCACAGCCATCGGATCCAGGGTGCATCTAGTCCAGTAGCTTGTTTCCACAGTATGTGACAAGTCTTCTTGTTGCTGGCTGCTCAGCAATGGAGACTTAAAGATATTCTGCTGTTGAACATGAAGGCGCCACTAAGATCAGTGTTTTTCAAATTTGGCAGCTTTAAGGTGGGTGGACTTCAATTCCCAGAATTCCCCAGCCAGCCATGGCTGGCTGGGGGATTCTGGGGG